ACTGGAGTTGGGTATCAGTAGCTGACGATGGCTAATGAGCCAAAAATGGTCCATGTCTCTGCCGGTAATGTCCTTCTGTCTATATCCTAACCGCCTCGCGGTGGCGGCTCGAGGGAGAGCTATAATGGCAACATGGACGAACGAGTAGTTCCTCTATAAGATCGGTGTACGCATATCTGCTACTATATATGAATATTTACGATAGCAAGGCATCCACCGATCTGGTTACGAAACATATTTGTCCCATTGTGCCTGGGAGATCAATCTAGAGCCCTCGCAGACAGTCGTATAGGAACTACTAGAATATTTTGAAGAGGAACCGAAGAAGGCAAGGGAGACCGGAACGGCTGACATCAGCCAGTCATACCCAATCTCATGTGTCGATCACCCGAGATTCTAAACTGGGACTTTGATCTTGGAGCAAAACATCCTACTGCTGTACAACGGGCTCGTTGCTTTTGTCGTGTTGTGATCGGAAATATGATGGAAGTAAGGCGCTCACCGATCTAGTAAAGGAACGTGTATGTTCCGTTTTTGTCCTGGAGCTCACTTTGGAGCCCTCTCAGACAATCGCCTAGTTACTAGTGCAATGTGATAAAGAGGAACCTGCAAAGACAAGAGAGACCGGATAAAAGCAAGGAGCCCGCGGTGCAATTGTAGATTATTGTATTCCATGATCAAAGTTCCGGCTTAGAAGTTGGAATGACCCACACACGGCATTGTGCATTACTGGCTGATGCTGGCTAATAAGTCATAAATTGCCATTCCGGCTTCCCTTGTCTTTGTTGGTTTCTCTTCATCATGTTCTACTATTTTATATGCGACTGCCTGCGAAGGCTCTAGATTGACCTAGAGCAGTGATCGCCCTACTTCCATACATATATATCTTTGAAAGAGACAAAATTACTTAGGAAAACAAAAAATGTTATGAACAAATTTTTTGACTGATCCTTGAGATCGTCGTCAGACCATGGGATGTGTACGAAAACGCATAAATAATTAACCTTGTCAGACAAAGTTTTCCACGGTTCGGCGACCTCTGCGTCAGTACGCGATATGTGCATTTTATCTTCTCATAGTGATTGACTGTGTGTGTTTAAATGTATCCTTAGGGATTCCGTATGTGGCATCCATATCCATGTGCCGATTGATGCATGCCGCATCTGAGTGCACTGCGTCCAGGATTTCATTACCTTTTGTGATTGAGCAGGGACCCAAATCCATGTGTTCTCCAACGTAAATATATGCCCAGTGTGCCATGTGTGCATAGCTATCTGGGATAAATGGTCTCGTCTCCTGACCGCTATCTGATGTTCGTGTACGCAGATAGAGACAGATTTTCCAGATTGGCCACAGTACATGGCATCACACCTAGCACATATAATTTTGTAGATAACGCTTTTTCTATCAAGGTAGCCAACCCTGCTCTTAGGGCCTACTACCCGTGAGCATAAGGTAGCTGTGGGCTAATGTACTACTTGTATCTGATGTTTCCTCCGCTGTCCTTCATCAAGCTCAGATAAATTTTTCAAGTATGGAACGTTAAATAAGCCATCGTTTTGGTGACTGGATCCCCGTATCTTTTGAAAGGTCTTTCTGGGTGAAGTCTTGCCACTTTATGAGCTGACGCACGAAGTGACGTGGGTATCCATTTATGGAGAATACTTTAAAGACGTATTCAATTTCTGCCTGATAACTATTTTAATCAGAGCGGTCTGTGTTGGCTAGATTTAGGAAACTCTAGGTGGCACTCCTTTTGAGGCATTTGATTTAAAGGAAGCATGGATTGCAATTACGGGAATCAAAGATGGTTTTACGGCTCATTCACTGCATAACATAAATAATGGATGGCAGAACGTTTGGATTTGTACAGAACCGATCAATGTAAAACAGCGGGTTCATGATTAACTGCCGTACAGGCTAATGAATAGAAATAATAACTTAAAACAATATGGGAGGTGTTATGTATTCAAAACAGAAGACAGTTTGTAGGCAGAATGTTGTATAGACAGAACAGGAGGTGTGCTCAGGGTGAGGGAATTGCTTCGTGTGTAAGTCATGTTACCCAAGGGGGCTTTATGGTGGGGCTTAAACGCCATTGGCTGAAACATAGCCACTCAGAATAAAGAAAGGG